TTTTAATCCCGCGCTTTTATCGAGTGCGTTGACATTGACTAGTTATTCCAACTATTGTCATCAGTTTCTTGTTCTGTAACACACATTCTAATCCTGATGTATCCCTCACTACATTTCCGCCTTGAACTGCATTATTTGACGAGCGTCTGGTTTAAATACATTAATCGATTTACAAGCTACATTATGAAATATTCATAATGTACCTTGCAAATCGATTAATAGATAGTCTACTAACTAATTTACTCCCTACAAATAATTAGGTAATACATTATTTAATACAGTGATATCAATGACAATCACTCATCAGTCTATGTAGTCTATGTAGTATTTGTTATTTATTGGACATTACTTTTACCCTAAATCTGGCTACATGTCCTCCAGTATCCATGAACAATATTTACCACCCTAAAGTAACAGAAATAAAATACTTGGGCATGCACTTAGATGCAAAGCTTAATTGGAAGGCACATATCTGGACTAAAAGACAATATCTAAATTTTAAAATAACTAAGCTTAATTGTCTTCTTGGATCTAAATCAAAACTTAGTACACAAAATAATGTTACTTTGCAGAAAAGTTATAAAACCAATTTGGACTTATGGGATCCAACTTTGGGGATCATCAAGTACATCAAACATTGAAATTTTTCAACGATACCAATCAAAATTGCTACGTAAAATTGTCAACGCACCTTGGTTTGTTACTAACAGAACACTTCATAATAATCTTAGAATTTGAAAAGTCAAAGAAGAAATTACAAAATCTAGTGAAAAAAGATAATCAAATTGGAAAATCATTCAAAATCGTCTTATACAAAACAACTTTTGCAAAACTTATGACAGCTAGCCTGACCATACTACTGGAACGAATTACACGCGGTTGGTACCAAATGAAAGATATTTTCCTGTAGATATGATGAATCCCTTTATAAATTAAAATAAGCTCAAAAATAAACACAAGAAACGAATTTAAAATTTTAAAAATAACTTGGGCCGTATGGGTTGCCATGTAGGTAACGAAATAACAACTAAATGTAAACAGAAAATAAAACCAAATAGAAGAAATTCCATTTACATGTCTTATTTATAGCATAGGGTAAATATAGATAAGTTGGAAAAATACATACTTTTGGTCAAGTTTCCGACCACAAGGCGAGCTCTCATCTTGCACTAAATTTATTGGACAATCACAACACCATTTACGACATTTAAACCTCCCATTCAGATTCGGCTGTGTTATCAAAATTATCTTTGTCAGCTAGTGTTGAGAGTGGTAAATCACTATACTTTTAACGTTGTATTATTGTTAATGTATTTGCTTATTTTTCTACTTTTGAAACAGACTGTAAATTAAATAAAGTTGAAACCCGATTAAGCTACAACCCATTTAATAGTATATTTCGTACCTAGGGCCAAAAATAAGGTTTTGCCGGCTCGAGATAGTTCGACTTCGTCTCGATCGAGAGCTGCAAAACCATTTCGGTCCGTGGTACGAACGCTATTTTGCACCACACTATACCCTATTGCCACTATTCACCTCTATAATAATGCACACTGATGGTTAGCACAACTACAACTTTAAGGTTATGTGAAGAAATAATTCGAGGCATCAGCAAAAATAAAAATAAATTGTTGCTAGGCAACGGTGACAATAAAATAATTCTATGGATACTGATTGTGTATTTAATATGCATTCATGTTTTAAGTAAGTAAGCGGGCAGCTAATTTTGCGGCCCTAGGGACCAGCGACCACAGAATTAAAATTAAAATTTTAATTCTGTGGTCGCTGCTAGGGACCTGCTCGGTCCCCGAATAACGATGACAGCTAAAAACCTAATAATTCTATAGAATAACAAGCTGTACCCGCTGGCTTTGCCCCGTTAAACTAATTAATTTTCAAGATTAGCTCGTTCGCTGAGCTCACTTGCCTTGGGGTTAACTCGCCTCCAGGTTGAAGTTCGTTCGAAACGCTCACTCAGCTTTTGGTTGCAAATTAGCTGTTGTCATAAATTGTTAAATTGACACAGCTGTTATGATTCATTAATTCCTTTTAAATATGAAAAATCATAAGGTTAAGATGGGAAACTCCAGAGCCACTGGGGCGGAGCCCGAATGCCCGATCATAATAAAAACTACTTAGTTTTCCTATTTAATGCCCAAAGAATCGGTGTATCGAATTTCAGCCTCCTAGGTAAAGGGGTAAGTGGGAGAATTAGTGATGATGCGTGAGTGAGAGTGAGTGTGTCAGTGAGGGCTTTGCCTTTTATAAGTATACATAGCACATTCAACCAGCTGTTAGTTAAAACAAATTATATTGGACTAAAACAAATCGATGATTACAAAGAATACTTTAAAAAATAATTTGAACATCCTACTACTGTATTTTACTATGCACATTTAATTAAACTGCCATCCTCGTACCGAAGAATTAAATGTATCAATGGTCAGCATTACACATACATAGTATAAATAAGTCAACCATAAGTATGTATTTGAATTTTCTTCCAAATGCTGAATTTGTGTCACAAATACTGAATGTTACAGCTGTTATGTTAAGCAAATTATAATGTACTAAAAGCTAGCTAGAAGCATTGACTTATTGGAGAAGGTTAGCATCGGCTGCTAGACTTTTTAAAAACTAAAACTTAATTTATAAAAAACTGGGACATTAATTTTAAATTATGGCTTTGAAATTATCTAGTTCTCAAAATTGTCTTTCTTTCAACACAAAACTAATGAAAATCCATCGACTGGTTGATTCAGAATCGTGAAAAAACCCCATTTACGTTATAATAATATATATGATAGTTTGGACAGGTTTCAACCCTTCCGTGGCGTAATACATTACACAGTTTATATGTAGACTACATTATAACTCATAAAATAGTTCTACAATTAAATGGATCTCCTTTTACAAACGTATATAATAACCAGAAATGTTCAGATCGTCCTTGCGTGTATTTTATGCCACAAATTTTGACGAAAGGCTTTTCATTACATAAACTATACCTATTTACAGTGTTGACCAAACAGTTGGCAAGAAGCATTAATAAATAAGCTATGTACCAAATATGATAATTTTAGCTCTATTCTAATTATGACAAAACACGAAGTAACTAAAAGCGAGTTTTGTTGGTGTAGTAAGCGTTGCAGGAGGTCTACTTTACACTGAATCGACGTTCACTTTTATTGCTTTTGATCTTCCGACACTTTTGACTCAGCGAAACTGAACTTGTATTTTACCGTATTTCGTTATATTAATCCTGCTGTTGCATTAGGTCAAATTCCCAATAAGTCAATTGCTTTAACATAGACTAAACTTTTAGCCCGGACTGTACTATTTGACTTTCTGGGATTTTTGATCTACAGACACTGCAAACATTGTAGTTTTTGACCTAGCGGCACAGGTATAAATTATTTGATCTTCCGGGACTGTTGACTTTCAGCAACATTCCCAATACGGACACTACCATAATATTAGATTAGACCATATTCTAGCGAATTTTCCATAGGTATAGGGAAAAAATTACCCATAAGTATTTTAGCTATTACCGTAGTACTCATGGTAAGACCTGGACCCGGGACCAATTTATTTTTCGTTTTGATGTCCCTAGAGGGCCAAAAACACCATCCGTTCAAATTCATATATATATATATATATATATATATATATATATATATATATATATGTCCGTTAGCACGATAACTCAAGCAAAAATGATCCGATTTTGATGAAATTTTGTATAAACGTTTAAACCTACATTTATTCGTACAAGTTTGCGAACCAGCATGATCGGACTATGGGAACGGGGGTTTATGGGGAAAAAATAGGGTTTTCCCATTTTTGACCCTAAAAACAGAAAATTTCAAAATTTCTTTCCAAACCATTTTGTAGTGCTTAAAAAACAAATAGTTAAGTATATTGAAGCGTTATTGTGTCCCTAATGGTTACAGAGAAAATTCCAAAAAATTGTAAATTTAAATTCCTCTGTTATTCTTATGGAGAATAAGTCAACTGTTGTAGTTTGCTTGTTTATAAACATATTTTGATCAAATTGGAAAGTACATTAATTTATTTCTAAACTATTGACATTTTACAAAAAAAAAAAAAAAACACTTTTTACCCTCCCTTTTGCAGCAAACCTAAGTAGCCGTTAAACTAACTATTTAAATAGGAAATAAATGTGATATTTAATGAGATATTTTAGTGTAAATCCAATCAGGCAAATGGAAGTTCGCTTAGTCTGCAGGTTTACTGCGACAGGGGTATTATAGTTTTCTATCCACCAGGTTTTTTGTATTCTAACTACAAAGCCAGGTCTGAGCTACATATGACCCTGAATACACTTCATTGTTATGATTTACTATTGTAAAATAACTTTTAAAATCTGTATACACTGATTCTCTACACTTTGTTGATTAATAATCAAAGATTTTATAAGACCGGCTTATTATGCACTATATGTATGGATGTATGTATAAGTATGGACTATCATTAGACGTCACATACAGTAAATGCTCATGAATCTCGACTCAATACTTAGCTTAGTGTAGACAGTCAGCATTTGACATAAGTTTATTACACAAATGTCACACAACTTTTGATAAGGGAAACTTGAAATCAGTAGGAGATTTAGGGAGTGGAGAAGGGCTCTATAACCCAGGGGACAAATTTTTATTTTTTTCATGAGGCAATTGCTTATAAAACTCTAAAATATTAAGCTTTCAAGTTCCAATAAAAGACGTTAGGTAACCTTGCACTTGTTCACTGCTTATTACTTTGTACAATATACAAATACTTACTTATAAGTATATACAAATAGCAAAAGTAAAAAGATAAAAATAAATTGAAGAGTGGTTGGGCACCTTGGAAGTGTGTAAAATTAGGTCATAGAGCCCAAATATCTCAACCCCCTACTCCTGGAAGTAAACTGTTTTTAAAATATACCCATAATATATGTAATAAGTATTTTATAACTAAAAGACCCTTGTATGTTTCAGCTGACGGGGTGACGTACACATTCGGACTGTTCTTGGTTGAGCTAAGGACGTACTTCAATGAAGGTGCTGGAGCCACTGCCTGGATATCCTCTATCTTAGCAGGAGTCACTCTATGTTCAGGTTAGGTGCAGAAGACTTAGAGTTACAAAGCATGTGTACTGCATATGAGAATTTGTATGCAGAGTTACAAAGCATGTGTACTGCATATGAGAATTTCTATGCAGAGTTACAAAACATGTGGTGTAGTGGAGTGGGAACGGCATTCCTACTCTATACTATTTACAAAGAACCTATATATTGATGACATGCCACCCTTAATTTTTTTCTAAGAGAATTACGACTACACCACTGATTGAATTCATCATTGGTTTGGTTCTAAATATACAGGGTAGAAAAAAGTCCCTGGACAGTTAAATATCACAAAAAAATATAAAGATAGACAATCGTCTCAATCAATAGTCTATATCATTGTATAATCTAGCCATAATGAGGGAGCGAGCTGTTTTTAGCAGCAACACACTTAAGACATTATAGAGAACAGAAAAAAATTTATTATAATTAGTTTAAGTTTGTTTACTTTTGCTATTTAAATAATGTTGGTATCTAGCTTAAAAAAATATGTCTTGTAAAGTTGATAACTTTTCTCAGGATTGAACGAGCAACCTATAAGTTACAGCTGGTGACATCTAAGCTGGCACTTGGCCAATCACTACTAGCAACTAGCATCAAGTTCAGTGCAGTCTAGTGATCCGTGTTTATCCGTTCTAATAATAAAATGGGAAAAATATATCACTTGAGTTGAATTAACTCCCAGGTTATAACTTAATAAAAGAGATGTGATTTTGATTCCCCTACTTTTATAGTTATCATTCCGGTCAAGTAAATTAAATATTTTACTGGTTTAAACTACAACTAATCAATGAATAAAAATCCTAACAAAACATTTCAAACATGTTTATGTTTAAATATTTCATTGTCATGTTTAATGGAAGGCAGTTTAGCATCACATTAGCAGACCAAACTGCAAAATAGGGAGAGGACATATTCTGTGGCTATGTGGCATAATCTGCCCCTGACATAAAGAACATATATAGAGTATTGATTGAAATGTACTTATGCTGAAAGGAACAATTATTACAATCAATCAGTCAATAGTTGTGTAAATCATAAGTTTTGCAATTTTGGTAGGCTTACTTATTGAATAGTTAAATTGAAGTAGTTAATCTAAACTTAACTATTGTATTGAGGACATACACATGCACTTTTATACATGCTTTTGCTACAATTTTGACTGTTCCAATCTTAACCTCTGGGTGTGTTTGCAGGTCCAATCTCCAGCGCATTTGTCAACAGGTATGGCTGCAGGCCAGTGACCATAGTAGGAGCAGTGCTGGGTGGAGTTTGTATGATAGCGGGCGCCTACGCCAACAGTGTCTTCATGCTGTACATCACCGTCGGACTGGGAGCAGGTGATTATCACGGAAACACAACCTTTAACTATTTATAGAAATTAAACACCCATTCCCATACAAAAATTGTTGCCAGCTTTAGTACTATGAAAACAGTGGCTGTCCCAGGGGGGGGATGGGAAAAATATATCCCCCCCCAAAAATTTTATATTTTATTAGCTAACACAAATACTATTAACTTGAGCATATTTTAGAGCTTAAATAGGTATAAAAATACGTTTTTAGGCTTAAAATTCCACATTTTTTCCGGTCCCCCTTTTTTCAGGGGAATATTCCATACCCCCCAGACCCCGGTGTTCATCCCCCCCAAAATGAAATCCTGGGACCGCCACTGTATCAAAATGAACGTAATTAAATTGAGCCAACAACAGCCGATGTCAATAACTGATTTCTGTAGAACTCGTCAATTTTTTTACTGAGTAGGCTACTTTAGCTTCACATATTCTGAAAGATGTGTACATATTGTCTAGGATCTTGTATATGAAGGATGTTTTCTATATAAATTTTCTGTATAGTTACAGCTCAATCTTGGCTACAAACCCTTTAAATTTAATTGATCCAGGATATGAATCGGCTATTTAAAAAAACCTGTCATCTCTTTGAATCTACACTCGCATTCACTTTTATGTACTCTAATATCAGTTTGAGGTCATTGCATTTAAATGAAAAACCTATATAAATTCATTATCAACAGTTATTATTCAATATATTTCATATTATCAATTCATTATTCCATCTAGACTTATATTCTAAGAAATCACTTCTTGGTTTTTCACATTTTGATTCTTAGAGGATTGTTTAGGAATACAAAATTTACTAAATGTGTGATTTTATACTATGGTTTGATTTCTGATCAGTTGATTAATAATAAATCATGTACCTATATCTTATTATGTAACTAAAAAAAAGTTAAAAATTAAAATTCCACTTTACAGGTCTTGGGATAGGACTAATCTACCTGCCAGCCATCGTGTGTGTGACGTGTTACTTTGAGAAGTACCGCTCCCTGGCCACAGGCATCGCAGTGTGTGGCTCGGGTCTCGGCACGTTCGTGTTTGCGCCCCTGACTCAGTGGCTACTGTCGACCCTGCAGTGGCGAGGCGCCATGGCCGTCATGGGGGTGTTGCTGATCAAGTGCAGCCTCTATGGAATACTGTTCCGGCCGCTAAAGATGCCTGAGAGCAAGGCTATCTCGATGGAGGAGATCCCACTAAAGTCGAAGGAGACTGTAATTCCTGTCATTGTGACGAACGCGTCATCCCCTACGATGAACGGGATGGACGAACAGAAGAGGCCTCACAGCGTGCACACGTTTGTTACACCCAAACACGCCAACGGGGTTGTACATACGTCCAAGGAAGCTAAGGGTGAGGAGGAGGACGTGGTAAAGTCTTCTCTCAGTCAGCCGATGTTGATGACACAGTGTGTGGCCGACCACACTTGTCGGACCAGACTACATTCCGAGAGCGGCAGCGTACGGTCAACACAGAGCGGCATCATGTACCGCAAGGACGTCTTGTACAGAGGGAGTCTTCATAATATCCCTCCTGAAACTAGGTAATTTGGGAGTTTTTAAAACCATAATGGTTTATTTTATGGATTATTGTACATGCACAAATTATTATTGTACGTTATCTGACCACAAAGAGTAATTAAAAAGCTTTTAAATGTGTCCGTGTATTTAGTGGTTTTTTTTTATAAAAAGTTAATTTATGATTCAAAAACAATTAATAAAACCCCGTTTTTGAACGTATGTCAACAAAAGAACATTATGAAATTTAACCTTTGAACAGAGCCTGGATACTGAGTGCTGAAGGTTAATAAACAACAAAGATATCATAATGTTGTAAAACCTTTTTACCACAGTTATATTTAATTTTTTATCAAGATATACAATTTATTAGATTAAATATAGTTAATATAGTTTGTACGTACACATACAATAAATCATTATAAATGTTTTGACAACAGTCAATGGCTAAAACTTGAGAGGTGTAAACCTATGTTGAAATATTCAAAGGCTATTTACAAATCAGGACTGTTAAGGTCTATCAACGTCTATGTTAAGGTCTGTTAAGGTCCAGCGGCATGTCATATCATCAGTCATATTGACGTCACAGTCAAAAAAGAAGAAGAATACGTTTATTGGATTTTCTTTTGCGCTATCTACACTTATCCGGTGTAAGTCTGTCTGTTGCTCTGCCGGCGTCCGTCAGTCAATAACTTAAGATTTCTTCTCACCGGTTTGAGTTTGTTTTTGACGCCTGACGATCTTGTGATGTATGTGTTTAACATTTTAAAAATAGTATTTTTTAAATTTAAATAAGTGTGATAGTATTTATAGTACTGTTTTTAACAATTATCAAGATGGGGGGATAGAAACATTGATAGAATATTGTGTTTTAATAAAAAAATTCTTGACTGTAACATCACTGTAATTCAAGTGGCGGAAGACTGACTGAAACCAACTAACGGACAGTTGACTGAGGAATTGTGATTGCAATTGAGACTGAACTGTGTGTAGACTGTGATTGGATTGATGTGTATGAATCGACCTTTTATAAAGATGAAAAAGTGATGCAGCACCATGAATCAATTTATACAATTACGTAGGTTTTATGTTGGTTGTTTGTTGAGGGTTTTTGTGCTGAAGAAGTCCAGAAGCATCGGTCTACCGTGTTGTATCTACAGCAACTATGATGTAATTCCACATTGACTATTGTGTATATTTCTCTGCTGTCTCTAGGAAGGCCAGTATCCCAGAGAAGTCCAAGCTAGATGTGCATGATCCCCATGACCAGGTCGTGGTCTGTGGCTGCTTCCCTTGCCACCGAGAGACAAGAGATACACTGCAAGAGATGCTTGATCTCTCACTCCTCAAGGACCCAATCTTCATCCTCTTCTCACTGTCAAACTTTTGCACCAGCATCGGATTTTATATTCCATACACTTTTATTGTGGTAAGTAAGTGACTCGACTGCTCTTCTGTAGATTTAGATTGTCAGTCATTATACATGACAGGTGGAATGTATTAGAACCCTTTCCACATTGTAGAGTTATCTTAAACATTCCGGTTAGATCTTATTTAATATGTGTTTCCAGAGTACCAATACGGGGATAAAGTTAGGAAAAGTTTTCTGTGCCTCTCGCACTACCTATCCTCCCACACCCCACCCTAATTGAAACAATCTATCCATACATGGCCAAAAAACTAAAGATAAGTTAATCAATATGCAGGATATTTAATCAATAATAATAATCAGTATTGAGGGAGATATTTAATACAGAGATATGAAAAATAGAAAAATAGGGCTACTATATATAAATAAAGATTAAACATTAATAAACTTAGTACCCAAGTAAAATTATTTATTAAAATATTTACTGACTATAGTTTCGGCTCTAAGGCCATTTTCAATTAATACAGAGATATATTTCCTTGTTGGAGATGTTGTTTTCCTTCTGAACAGTTGTATCTATTTTGTAGATCGCCCAAACCATTAGAAAAATTGAATTTATAGAAGGTTGTGTAAAACCACTGTAATTTATACTTTTTTAATGTAACTTCTCTCTTAATTCCATGTAAATGATCATTATCATAGACAAATAGAATAAATATAGACTGTCGAAGGAAGTTTCCACCATGTGCCGCTAGAGAGTGCTTGGTGTTCGATTCACTGCCGTTGTCAGTCCCTCGCCGTATACTACCAGCAGACACTGCAGCAGTGTGCGTCGTAACCATACAGCACTCCTAGCGGTGGAGGCCATAGCATATGCTAACCGCAGCACTGCTGTCGGTCTTTGTTTAATTCTTTTTGTCTAGGATAACGCATATTTTATTATATATGTTATCTATCTACAGCTCAAGCTGGGCTTCAAACCATCTGAGAATAACATTTCTTACCGTAAACAATTAACAGTCTTTCTCAATCAATCTTTGGCCGGATTTCAACTCTTAATCTAATAGAAAGATATGAGTGAAGATGTACATGAGAAGTGTATTCTCTCAAATTCAGTAGGGACTATGGTGTTTCAAAAAATATTGAACACTGTACAACTAACATTTTTACTACCTTGAGCAACTTTATATGCTGATGTTGGTCAACGTTTTCAGTCGATGGCCAAAGAGCAAGGCGTGGGTAAGGATGAACAGAGCTACTTGCTGGCAGTGATTGGTATTGCTAACACAGCTGGCAGGATCGTGCTGGGTTACCTCTCCGACAAGACTTGGGTCAACAGACTATGGGTCTACAACTGGTGCCTCACCATATGTGGGATAAGTGAGTACAACAACAAACATGTTTACTGTGTTAGTAGACTCTACAAGTCAGGCCCGTTTTTGACCATGTCAGCGCCCTAGGCACAACTAATAGTAGCGCCCCTTTGCAATATATAACAGGGTGACCACCAACCTGGAAATCCGGAAATTAAGCGTGATTTTTTTTGAACCGGGAATTATGTGTATTTGTATTTCTACCTGGAATTGTCAATTTACCGCGATGGCGCATGACAACAGTGACGTTTCCGTGACCACGGGAGACGATAATATGTCTCCACAAGGCCGTGAAGGATGATCAGAACTTTGCCGCGATCGCATGAGACGATGATAATGTCTAAACGACCACGGGATATGATCATGATTTTACCGCGATTGCGCGAGACGATTATAATGTTTAAACGACCGCGGGATATGATCATGATTTTACCGTGATCGCACAATACGACAATAAGATCTACAGATCCGCGAGGGATGATCAGAATATTGCCGCAATCACAGAAGACGAAGATAATGTCCACACAATCGTGGAAAACAGTCAGAAATTTGTCACGATCGCGGAAGACGATTATGATCTCCACATGACTGCGGGATATTATTAACATTTTGCCGTAATCTCGGGAGACAATTACGATGTCTTCGTGACCGCGGGAGATGATTACGATGTCTTCACGACCGCAGAAGATGATTACGATGTCTTCACGACAGCGGGAGACGATTACAATGTCTTTCACAACCATGGGAGACGATTACGATGTCTAGGACCGCGGGAGTTACAATAATGATGTCTACTCTACACGGCTGCAAGGGATGATCAGAATTTTACCGCAATCGCGTAAGACGACGATAATGTCCACTCAACCACGGGAAAGATCAGAATTTTGCCTCATTCACGAAAGACGATGATTATTTCCAAACAACCGCGGGAGATTATTACCATGCCGCAATGGCGGGAGAGGATGACAATGCCTCACGGCCGCGGGAGGCGATGATGTCTTCAGGGCTGTGAGGGATTATCAGAATTTTATCGTGATCACGCAAGAAGATGATAATGTCCACACGCCCCCGGGAAAAGATTACAATTTTACCTCATTCGCGGTAGACGGTGATAATCTCATCACGACCGCGGGATGTGTTCATTGCCGCGATGAAGGAAGACGATAATTATGTCCACACGTCCGCTGGAAATAGTCAGAATTATGCCGCGATCGCGGGAGACGGACAATGATGATGTATACACAACCGCAGGAAATAATTAACTTCTTGCCGCAATTGTGGGAGACTGTTAAGATGTCTACACGGCCGCAAGGGATTATCATTTTACCGCGATCGCATGCAAAAACGGCCACAATTATTTTTTTTACTTTCCCAATTTTTTGGCGCCCCCCCAAAAAAGCCAATTGCCTTGCGCCCTAGGCACGTGCCTACCTTGCCTATTCGGTAAATCGGCCCTGCTACAAGTGCAAAGACATTTCAATGTCAAGTTGATTACTTTCTCTTATAAGAATATTGATTTTTAAGAACATTATTGAATAGCTCAAAAACTTAAGTACCATGTTCATTAGAAATAATTTACAATAGCTAACTTTCAAGAATTATTCCAATTGATATTTTATTTGCATGCTCATGGAATGGTGTAGACCAATTGAATAGTTATATTGCTGTTTTTTCCTCTTAAGTACTCATACTTAAATCGTGTTTTTATCTAAATGAACTGTATTTATTTTGCCTTTTCAAATGTAACCAATGCTGCATTTTTAATAGATAGCACTTTGGATTTTAACTCCTAGTGCTGCAAGTTCAAGCATGAGAGGTTTGGTGATTAGTTTGCTATTAAATAAAGATTTCTGCTATATAATCCATTAAAAAGAAATTAAAATTCTTAAAAATGTATTTCAGTGAGGGGATTCTTGAATTCAGGCTGTAGTCAAGTATTTCGTGTAGGTTCTTAATACAAGTAACAACAATAGTTCTTAAAACAGTAAATAACATTGTGACAATTATTAGAGAATGAGATTGTGTTATAAGTTTAGCCACACTATCAAATAAAAATTTATGATAATTTTACTGATCTTTGCACAAAATACTATCAAACATTTCTGTGGTTTTCAGGTACGATATTAAGTGCCTTCTGCTACGATTTTATCACATTCTGCCTGTACGCCTCTGTCTTTGGTTTCACGATCGGGGCCTACGTTGGTCTAACGTCAGTGATTCTGGTCGATCTCCTAGGTCTCAACAAGCTGACCAATGCCTTTGGTATCTTGCTTCTCTTTCAGGGCATTGCCTCATTCCTTGGTCCACCAATAGCAGGTAATTGTAATTATCGTTGTTTTAGGAATAGTAAAACAGAAAAGCAATACAAATAGTGTGGCAATAGAAATTGTAATAGAATATTAATGACTCATCAGAGATGGAATGAATGCTGAGGAGAGTATTGTGATGTTATATACTCAAGCTTAGGGTAGTAGTTTTGATATTATTACATGCACTCACAATAGGGATGAGCAGCAATAGCCGATGTTTTCACATCATCAATGTTTTTCCATCAATTTTTGATGCTTTTTACATCAATGGTGGGTTACCAAATATTTTTATTGCATCGATGTTCGACAAAAAGATTTTTGCCCAAGTATTGAAATATCTATGTTTTTCATAAATGAAACTGTATTAGTTTTGATGAAAGTTGAAGCTGAATTTTTGTATTTATTCTATTGAAAGACTGATAAAATGTTGAATCCAAAAATGTCACGGTCCACACTGAACTAGACTTAGAGAAGTCCAAGTGTAAAGAGAGTGAGATAACTATCTACATTATTTGTGAGCTGCTTGTTCTAAATACTACGTAAAATGCAATCAATTTATATTTGTAATACATTTTGACGTCAGCACTCCTGCTCTCCAGCATAATAAATTAATACCGATATTTCTCTTTGTAAATGGGAAAGAGAAACTGCCAACCTAGAACGTTTAGCTTGGAGCGTAGACTAACCAACGCAAGGGAGTGTGTTAAATCAATGCTAGTAGAGTGTGCTAATAGGTTAATTAGCTGAGGCAGTAAAGAAAACAGACTCTATTAACACCGGTGTTTTAGCTCCAAAAACATTGATGTTTTCGCAACGATGTTATCGGTACATCGATGGTTGACCTTTTGATTATTCAAACTACCAACACACATAATTATCACATACACTTCATGGCACGGGAAGACAAGAGTAGCAGGTTCAATTTAGGAGCAAGGAAGGAACGTAGAGTGTGGTGGGGGAAGAGAGCTACCACCCAACTTAAGACTTCTAACAAACAAACCGGCATCAATCTTCTAACTGATTGTTGCAATTCTCACACTCTTGACCGTTTCAATGCCTTTACTTCTTCATCCCTGTAGCCTACATCTTCAAGGTTTTTTTATGTATAAGAGAAAGTTCAATATTGTGAAGGATTTCTCAAACACAGTGGAGTCGGATTCTAAAGTATTTTGTGTTTGTTGCTAGTGTTGAAAGAAGAATTTTGATGCATGTAATAGAATATCTTTAACTGTTTATAGCAAAAGATTGTTATATTAACAATATGTGTTTTTCTGAAACAGGCTGGCTGTACGACGCTTTACAATCTTACAATCCAGGGTTCTACGTTGCCGGAGGTACGCTTGCCGTCAGCGGAATGATGCTCTTTGTAGTTCCGACGTTACAAAAGCACATCGCCAAATCCGAAGTGGACAGCGCTAGCTAGTATATGGAGAACTTTAAACTCAAGTTCAGTGCCATCGTCAAACTGTGATCTCTGTACAATTTAGATAAATCGTAACATTTATTTTGTATATTACTCTTGAATTGGGAATCGTAAAAAATTACCAATTGAAGTGAAGATTAAATAGTTTTAGCATATGTAAATGTTGGGGATATACATTGTCTTAAGGAAATCAAACTATGTAATTAATAGAGTTCAGAAAAAATGTTGATAGTTAGTAATTTTTTAGTTAAGTTTAGTTAATTTTGAAAGACTAAGCGGTGGTTTTATTTTGATAAAATAAAACATAACTTTAGTGTAAGAAGCATGTTGGATGTAGAAGAACATATTGTTTTATCATTTGATTCATAGCCATAAAAATCTATATCTATGTCATGTTAATCAATTTGATGCCTTAAATATTAAGTGCTATTGTTACTCTCCCTACATAAAACCTAAAATAAAATATTTTGATGTAGGTTTTTTTGCAATGATGATTGGGTTTCAAAGTTTTGATGTATTGTTATTTATGAAGGTAGATTTATACAAAAGTGTTATTTTTTATCATTGTAATAAATTTATATTTATGAAGTAAGAAGATTGAAAACAGTTTTAACACGTTCGCGGCGGCACGTCAAATGGCGGGCGTATCCCCAGTGCGGCGCAGCCCTCAGCATCAAACAAACCCGATTGCCGCGTGTGACTGGTTTTCCAATTTCGGTCTGACAAATGGCAAATAACGTGCGAGGATGTCCTGCTTTACAACGAGAGTCGATGTAGTTCGCTAAACACCAACAGATAGCAGCACTGCTTGTAACGTAGCCGGTCCCATTGGAATAGTATTGCCAAATGGAGGGAAAAAGACGGGACAAAAGTAGAATTTTGAGATTGCCAGACGGAGAAATTTACTACCAACCTACACCACAACAAAATACAGTATACTATTGAGCAGTGCTGTACGAGGTTTCAAGTTTCTAGCTCTAATCCTGGCTTAAAAATAAATCATTTCGTACTGCATTGCAGCTTGGGAGCGATCGCACCCTCCAGGATGGCATTAGGGTTCCGTATGGGAGCGATCGCTCCCATGCCGCCGCGAACGTGTTAAGTAGGATGGTTTGCATTGACATTATCAAATTAATTGATTGGATACCGATATTTAAACAAAAATTGTGGATTCCACCCAAATTATTCAAATTTACTGTAAAATATTAAAAGTTTGCCTATTTAATTCACAGATTGGAAACTACTGCAATAGTGTTCAAAGAAACTATTCTAAAGAAGATTAGTTTGTTGATCAATACTTTTTTTTCATTACAAACTCTTCTCATTAGGAAAATGTTTTAAAGTTATAATTTCAACCACTGCTTACCGACAAATAAATGTTTATCTAGTTTTAATCTATGTTTACTCTGTTAGTTTCATTTTGTACTGAAATGAATGTGTTTCTAATTTTAGTATCATAAGGCATTTTTTAGCTTACAACCAACATTTAATTGCAGGAACGTTTACACGCATTTAGCAACATCAAAAGACAAATGGTGAAGAGGGGGGGGGGGGGCAGTTGCTTGGACGAAACTAAGTACTTATATAGTTAAAAAGGAATTCTAAATATATGATAAAGAAAAGAGCAAGAATCAAATACTTTACCATTAGTACACTCAAGAATTTCTAGTGAACATCTTATAACTAATGATGCTAAGAAGACAAATTTCCATTGGAATTACAAATTTAATTTATCTTCATGGGACTTTGTCCAATTTTTTTTATTAGTTTTTTATGGAAATAATTGTTTTTGGAAAAAATCACCTCAGCTCCTAAGGGTTAGGTAAGATTAAAACTGAGTTAACACGATTTTAGGTGTTTCTATTTATTTTTATCTATGGATAATCAAAATACAGAAGGGTTCAAATTTATATCATACTATGCACTGTGCACTAGACTTCCACATTTTCTAATACCCAACTCTTGCCACACACACACACACTAGACTAGATTCAAACTTCTTTATCTTGTCTTTACTGGAAAACTATGTGATATTCTTCAATTATATTGCAGAGGGACCTCAAGTATTTAGGAAAGTGTAAATAATCACAATATCTATTTAAATAGTGTATAAAATAACTGTATATAATATAATTATGATATTTTAAGTACATTTTATTGCATTTCTTTATATAATAAAAAAACTTGATCAAGTTGCTACTGCTTGTTAATACATCTCCTACAGATCAACATCCTTTAAGGTAATAACTTTCATAAATAATTAAGTCTTTCAAACACCATACAACTCGTTTTTAGGTTAGGTTAAATCCAAGCGTTGAACGAAATGGGAATCGCTTCACCAGCTGATCGTACTTGTAGTATCTTTAAGTGTTGCCAACTTATTTCCAAGAGTACTCGCATTACCAGCCTTATAATCGTTTGTGTTGATTGGTTAGAATACTGGAGTGTGGAAAAAAAAGTGCGGCCACAGTAAATGCGGCAATTAGCTACTTTGAGTGCTATAATCAGTGTAAGGAAGCCCACTTTGTCAGGTAACTGTAGGAAAATATATTTTTTGATGTAGGTTTTCACAATTTGAAAAATTGCAATGTTCAAAATTTTTTAATGTTTGATTCAAAAACTTGCATACCTGTTAATAAATAAAGGTTGGAATAGTTTTAAATATACAGGTAGATATTTGAATAGGATTAAATATGGGTAGATGTTTGAATAGGATTAAATACATGGGTAGATTAGATAAGACAAGTATCAGGGATATCTTTATTTTTAAAAATATAGCAAAAATTCTCATCAAATTGTTTTACTGGATTCACTTTAACAGAGGAAGACTTAATTTTCTTTTCAAAAATGGGAGACTAAAAATAGGTCTTACCTTTCGTCTACAGCTCAATGAGTTGTAGCTTGCGTTACGGCCGTTTCGGCATTAACATGCCATCATCAGACATCTTCAGCTGAAGCAGCTTCGTCACAGTAGAAACAAATAATACGAACACAAACACATTCAACACACATTTTTATGTAATTGTAAAATGTGTTTGTGTTTGTGTTATGTGTTTTTACTCTGAGGACGCTGCTTCAGCTGAAGATGTCTGATGATGGCATGTTAATGCAGAAACGGCCGTAACGCAAGTTACAACTCATTGAGCTGTAGACAAAAGGTAAGACCTATTTTTAGTTATATCACAACTCAGGGGCTACCCTGCTTAAAAACAGGCAACACTTTGTTCAGAATGACTAAAGTTAAACTTTTCCATTTTTTTTTTTTAAAAGGAAAATTTTTTTCTGTAACGGGCATTATAATATGTGTACGAAGAGTTTAGAAGCTATTCATGTTTTTAAGAAACCCTGTTAACCCGTTGTAAAAAAATACAGAATACACAATAAATTCTTCAGTACAAAAACATCAAAGTCTTATGTTTGTAAATCTGGCAAGATAGCCACAGGCACAATTGATCACGCCTATGTTTTACTGTACAGATTGTGATGAATGAAAGAATTCTAAAGCCTGTAGCCACGCAGGAGTGTGGTAAACACTAAATGTTCATGCACAAATGTAGACTATGTAACTCAAGATTTGTGGGCTAAAGAGAAAGTTCTTAACTACCGTAACAATCCATTTTGTTCACTATATAAGAGGACCAACCGCTTAATAACTCCTGTATTAGGTACTACAATTTTTATTACAATATTTGTATAACTATGTTGTAGGAATGATATGAATAACAAATCAATTTTAATTTCAGCTATGTTTATCAGTGGGATTGCTGAAATAATGTGAGGTTTAGGTTCCTAACTTAATATTGTAGAAAATTAACTGAAATTTTGAATAAACAAATTTGGGCTACTGTGAAAAGTTAAATTTACATTGTACATGAAGTGAATAATATTTTTGTTATCAATGTAAACGTAAAGTAATATTTCATTTTGGTTAACAGCAAAAACATATTCAGTGCACCCTCGATAAAGTATCTTGGCTAAAATATCACACAAACTTACACAACTATTAGTTAGCAGATAAATTAGTCTTTAAAATGTCACAACCAAGTGAATACTGATGGTTACATAACAGGTTAGTTGGGGAACAAAATAATTCACTGATAAAAGGCAAACCACTTATGCTTGGTTAATCAATCACTTGGAGTTTGAAAATGTTTTTCAATTACTGGAATCCAGTTTCGGTTTTCAACCAAAAGAGATCTTAATTGTTCAGAGAGACGTGTTAAGTATAACACAGTTCTCCCTTAGGCCATGGTTAGACCAATCAAATACAACTAAATATACTCCATTCCCTGATCATAGTACAGTGCAGAGATAGTCGTGCTATGAACATTGCTCGAAATATCTCTTAGTGTCATTTGGGTTGCTTTAACTGTTCTCGTAATTTTTGAAGGAGCTAAAGTACATTCAAAATATTTCTGTAACTTTATTCTTCTTATAAGACTGATATGCTGAATTAATGACTTGATCGTTTACTTTGGTATGGTTAAAATTAGAGTGGTGGAAAAGAGGGCAAGAAAAAAGTAAAAAAATTAAGGAGCGTTTTAGAGGTCCTGATGTTTTTAAAGTGGCTAAATTTGCTGAAACTGACATTTGGAATACACGGCTTATGGACACTTTGTATTGCACAATGAACAACAAATGAAGTATACATAGGAATTTACAGTGATCAACCGTCGTAACCATTGACTATTGGAATAGTCAAAGTAGTAACATACTATCTATCTAATAACAATTATTAATAATACTTACAACTAAATGGAAGGCAAGAATAATGTGTAAAATTAAATTAAATATAACAATAATAAAACAACTAACCGGGAATACAATGACTGTAGTCGTAGCTAATGGAAAAGCAAAAACAAAAGCAAGATAAGGATTAATGATTAGGTGGGTAGAACTCTTATCCTGTATCACTGAAAGGACGTAATGATTAATACTTTTAATTCGTAATGAAAGCTATGAAATACTTGTGAAGGAAGCTACTAAGTCTGTGATGAAGCCATCAGCAAGTTGTGAACAACAGTTTGCAGTTGGTTTCTGGCACTCCGCTCCTCTTCTAGCTGTAGACTTACGGTGGACATCTTAAATCGGAGAGCTTTCACTTCGTCTTTCAATGCGTAGACTGTATCCACCAGAGTCCTAAAATATAGTTGGAACATTATTATATTGCAGAGTCGAATTATTGACTATAAACTATTATGGATGGGAGACCAAATGCATTAGTCTGCAATCAAGTTAAGCAGCGAATTAAGTGGCAAAGGAGTACAAATGATTTGGAACAGCTGCTGCTGCCCCTTAAAACAGGACTATAGACAATAGAGATTGGGCCAATTCTTATTTTTCACACAAACCTTTTTGGTTAACACTTCTAACATGCTTGATGTGTCCAAAATATTTTTTATCTTTTATTTGTACGTAAATATTATGAACTTTTAATCTTTTAAACCTGAAATGCGTGAGCTCAGATTAGAGGACAAGTGCTAAGATCCACCCAAATTGGACAAAACATGGTCTTAGTTGAGTTTTTGTTGCACTTCACTGCAGACAAAGTACAAAAAGACATGGTGCACAGACTGCCATTGCTGTATGCATACAGAATTTCAGAACATTTTGATGACAAGATAATAGCCCTAGTCCCATCTACTTTTGCACTTAAACAAAACTTCAGTTACTTTATGAACAGCCCTTGTAGAAAGGTGTGATACCTTTAGTAACTATTACTGACTAACACCAGAAGAAGAATTGGTCAAAAACATTAATTAAAATCTGACTAATGACAGTGGAGTCAAATTTTTACTTCCGATTAGTCCTACAGAGGTTTCTTAAATCAATAGACACTTTAAACCAGTCAGTATCTGATTTTGCAACTCACTTTTCTTGAACACCAGCCTGGTTCCCTCTCAAGTCTTCCTCGATGATTTTTTCCTCTTCAGCAATCAGAAGTGGAGGAGCGTCCAACAAAGCTGAGGAGCAACACAGGCAAGTCATAACAAGGGAATGTAAATATTATGTGGTTTGCTTGTGTAAGATGATAGTGTAGTTAAAATTACGGTTAGGTCACTAGCCAAACATTCAATTAAAATTTATAAGTTTGTTAAATTAGATTTGTCAAAAGTTTTTCAAAACTTGGTACCATACATAAATACTTTGGATATTAGACATTTTACGAGAACCTATGTAAAATCTTGGCATTAGAGAGATGACCATTTTGTGGGTAAGCTACCATTCAACTTGACTTGAAGATGGATGGCTGCAACAACAGAATAAAGGTCCAACCATCAGTCTGTTTCTGTGCAGCATCATATCCAGTGGTAATTTCTCTAGTTCAACACATTCCTAAGACCAAATACTTAGGCCTAACCGTCTCTTCTTTGGCCATTAAAAAGCCTTCCATTTATATATTTATGAATCTCTTTGAGACCAATTATTGATGCATTTTCAAGAATAACATTGGTAACTCTTACTAAAAAAATTATAACAATATTCAAAGTTCTAAATGCATATTTAAATTTCCTTTAATAGGTATGGTATTCATAATTAAAAAGGTATTTTATCTTAAAATTAATGGTTTACGACTTATGAGCTATTGTCTAAATTCTTTTTTCTCATATAATAGTGTGAACCAAACTAAAAAAAAACTTCCACAAATATAACTTCTGGAATATTTTCTATGAAGAGGGAGGGGTTAAAAATCCTTTTCATCAATGCTATACGTCATTTAATTAATAATGCCCATTTTATAAAACACAAGAATAAGCCTAATCCTAATAATTGACAAATAAATATATAAGATATGGGTTTATACTCAGTTAAAAAACAAGTTTACTTTTATTTAACTGTATTTAATAGCATAAGGTGCACTACATTTCTTATTAATCTAGTTTTATAAAATTAACATACCTTAGTAAATTAGACTAAAACTAACTTACTAAAACCTAATTCGGCCCAGACAAAAATCTAAAAATATGAAATATTGTGCTTGGATATATTTGACTAAAATAACATGAAGTGTAATTAATTGAGTTAAAACACAAAACATTTAATTATGATAGAAATAATATATAGCACTAATACTATAAAACCATTAAAGGCACTTGTATTTAATAACATTTGTATAATCTTGTACTAACAACATTGAAGAAAATAGTCATGCTAATTTTATTTTATTTAGTTTAAATATTCAAACATTTTAAATTATATACATGTATATAGTACAATGGACAGTGTCAATACATTCCTCATTAAAATATGAAAGAAAATTATAAATAGGTAACCTAATAAGTGCATCAAAAGAAAAATAATTATTTATTTTGTTGCTTGCAAGTTTGTAAACTATTGTTTGCAAAACTCGATGGGCAGTAGGATAGTTAATTATTTGAAACTAACAGCATGGAAAAGTAATAAGTACACAAATTTAATACGGTAAATATTCATCTTTTCATAAATGTGATAACAAATATTATAGTATATTACGCTTTTTGACCGGGAAGTAGATGTTAACAGAAATAGCAAGCCTCGCGGGGGATTTCATGTGTCTAGCGTAAATAAACACTTTCCTGGGTGAGATGTGTGCTTATGATCTTGCCATACAACCAGCAATCAAATCAATTATCAATTATCAATTATCAATTATTTAAGATGGGGACGCCACTATGTGCGTATTTTAACCCAAATATGAGTGAAGGATGAGTGTAGGATGAGTGGCGCGATCTTGTAGTCTTGTTAGTGACTAAGGCAGCAAAACATTTATAAAATAATTTCTTTTCTGATTTAGACTTGTAGACTAACATAACCTTACTAATATTTAGATGGTTTTGCCACTTAGAAAATATGGGATATTTTAACTCATACATGGTTTTTTGATCTATCGTGAGCTAATTTCTTTTGACTTAACTATTACTTTACTATGTGTAATTAAAGTATTATTACTTTTTACTACACTAGCAGAGTACCCGTCCTGTACGGGATTGGCATATAAGTATAAAATGCTTATTGCAGTTATACTCAAGCTTTGCGTAAAAAATGGGGGTGAACACAGTTTGATAAAATTTCCTTCTTTAAATTTACGATATACTATAGTATTACACATCTACCATAGCCATAATGTTCTACCACTTAATTAAGTTAGATAGTTAGTTAATTAGTTTTCTACCAATTATTAAAGATTCACAAAATATCCCAATTATTCATGAAATTAAAAACATAAACATAAGTGTAAACAATCCTACTTTGACAGTTCTCATTGGGTATACTGGTTTTTTGTTGCTGCTTGGTTCTAATTAGCTGTTTTCGTAGATAAAAAAATAGTAGTGCTGCACCCTGTTGATAAATCTTAACTTTTAATGCTTTTGCATATCATAGAACCAACATTTTTAGTTGAAACAGCTGACAAAATTCTTTAATTCCCTTTAAATATGAATACTCATAAGGTTAACATGGGGAACTACACAGCCACTGGGGCGGAGCCCGAAAGGATTTTTGAGATAAGAATATGCCTATATGTTAATCGGGAATGTGAGCTATCATCATGCCAAATTTCAGGCGAATCAGTCCAGGGTGTCAAACAAACAAACACAAAAACTTTCACATTTATAATATTAGTAAGATGTGTAATTTTACAATATTTTCTATCGTAAATCATCTTCCGTAATAAACTAATTCATAAATGATCACAACATTCTACACGATGGTGCTCGTCAATCCAAGTGACTCACAACAACGCAATGTTAGCATTGTTGCGTTAGATGAGTCTATGCACATTGATTGGGGAAGGGAGAGGTAGCTTCGCCGGTAGCATAGCGTTGTTGTAGCATATTGCAAAAGTGACCGGTACGGTAAGTTTACCGTACTCCAGTTAACTTTACCAAATCCTTTCTGTAAACAATGACTTTTTGGTCTAAAAAGAGTAGAGAAAGAAGCTGTTACAATGTAGTGTGGTGAAAATAATTTTAAAAATGTAGCAACAATTTTATGAAGGAGATGTTCAACACAGTATAAAGAATTTTGCAAACCGCTTACAGTATTTAAACCACTTTGTTAATTGATTTCATCACAAAGCCTGGTAAATTTACAATCGAGTTTATAGTTCGGCCGCTTAGAAAGCGACCTCTTCCAGCATTGGTTTAGCATTAGCGCGCAGGTCGTTTTCTAAGCGGCCGAACTATAGTAAGCTCACACTGCTTTGCAAAATTCTGTTTACTCAACATATAATACTTTTATTTCTTAAATATTATGCCAGAAAACATACATCTAAAAGACATACATATGACAATCATATGATAAAAATAAATTTGTTAAGACAGTAAAACTAGATTAGGGTCCCATATTTATATACATAGTAAAAACAAGAAATCAGTGCTTGTTTGTTTGCTCAGATTAAAGCAGTGAATAAAAATAAAAGAATAAAAAAGCACGTGATAAACCAAAATTATTTTTTTAATTAACCATTTGAACATTTTTACAAACATTTTAACTAATCAGAAAATAATATTTACAAGAATAATTAATATGACATTACTATTTGGAAGTCTTATTTACAAGCTATAGCTTCAATGTGAACCCTACTCTACTCCAGTCACTAGGTCTTGAAAAAAAAAACAATACTAGGGATCATAACAGAGCTATTCCGTAAGTAAGGAACTTTTTAGAGTAAAATGAAAAGTTTCTCCAAGGAAGAAATCGAATTGTATACTGTACATTTTAAAGAGCAACTAAAATATTACTTTTCTACATAGTCGCTAAACAAATGTGGAATTTATCACAGGGATAGAGGAGCTTAAAATTCTCTTGTCGTAGAACTCTGTGACACGCAGTATTAGGCTCCTCATCCTCATCAAAGCACTGTACTGCTAACCAAGAATTAGTTTTTGGAAACGAGTGAAAGTGACTCAGGGCAAGATCTGGACTGTAGGGTGGTTTAGGAAGAATCTCTTATTTGAATGACTAAAGGATATCTTGTGTGAGGTCAGATATTGCTATGCAAAGAACAAATTTGGATGTTAACCTTAGTTCAGCCATTTTCAAAGCTGAATACACCATTTCAGGACAGAATTTCAATTTAGTACGGGAAAACCGTACACTTCACCCACTCAATGAGAAATTTGAATACGTTAATTATGTATACAGCCAACAAAGACTGTATAACAGACCTCACTTCACAACTAGCGGAATTTTTCATTGCATCACAATTTTAAAGCTTTAATATTGCAAGTCTCAGCATGAAATTTCTGTTATGACGGCTGGACAGTCAAAGGAGAGGCAAATACGTCTATTAGAAAGTGTGCGACAAGTCACATTAATCAGCGTCAGACAGAAACGTTCCTTACATTTTGAATAGCCATCGGATTTAGAATCGTATTACCTTGCTGTTACACTAAATAGTGTTATACATGTGTCGTAAGTAAGTCATGAGTAAGAAAAATGTAGACATCTAATGTAATAATAATTACATAATAACTCCTGGCACTGAAATAATAAAATGAACATGAGATCAATACTTAGTTTAAATCTCAAAACCAAAACTTGTATTTGCATTTAGTTTTGCAGATTTTGAGATTCGGTTTTGACACATTCACTACTTATCATTGCCTACTCAACCTTTTGCAGAAAGAGGATCGTATTGTGAATTATTTGTGTGTAAAAATATAATGTGTGCAAGATACCGAAATAATTAAACTACCATTTGACTACCATACGACATACTTAAATCATAGCTCACTAGAATATCAATTGTTTAAAAACATCTTATCATGATTGTGCTGCATAACTTGAAAGAAATATTAATAGACTGACAAGATTTTACAAAATATTTACCTCTCCTAAGTGTTAAATCTCTACTAATGTACGGTCTCTGTAATCTTTGAGAATAGTTATTATCAATTAGGGATTTAAAATATTCTTTGTACATTATAACTCCTCTAATTCGTTGATAAAAATAATGTATTATCTGAGGAGCACGTAAATGACTAAATTAATTGCTTATTGGTTGCGTGGAAAACGATGATGATGATTCTGTAATAGTGGGGGATGTACAAGATTTTGGCTGGGATTGCAGGAGATGGTGATGATCTCCACACGACCATGTAGTAGTCTAGATATTACCGTAATAGCATTGTCACCAAGTATAAACTTGCAACAAGTAATCAACAGATTCACTGGAAACTGATCTCCCACTATCCTAAAGGACTAGAATATTGCTCATAGAGGCGCATGGGAGTTATCTTTACATATTTTTATTTTAAAATGTTCAAAACATGTATTAAGCCAAACCTTACTACTAGCTCACTACTGCTCACATGGTTGGGTAGAAACTTATTTCATATACTAGCACAACATTTTACCCTCCATCCTTATCAAAAACTTTCACCTTACCAACACTTGCTAAAACTAGACATTATCCCTGAAATTCTTTAAAAAAATATATCCTAACATATTTACAAATTATTTTACAAAATGAGAAAATGAAAATACATTTAAGTAAAAAAGACACAGATACAAATATAAACAACAGTATTGCAAGGGTAAGACTAGAACAATACAATAAGTAAAACAGACACGAAGAAGGAAAAGAAAAGCAGATCATAATAAGGTACTTAAGTAATACAGTTGAGGTTCTTTCAGAGCTCTAGGAAGTTAAGGAGAGTATTTTAATACTTTATTAAAATAAATCATGAAGGAATTATTATCAGCTAAGGATATTATTCAGAAATTTAATCAAGCATTCGTTTATGTGCAATTTTTGTTGACAATCAAGATTTTTTTTGTAAAAAAATTGAATGCTATAGATTTAAAAAAAATGAGTGGCTCTGTCAACTTGTTTAACTGCTTCAAAGTGCCTCAACTGATTAGCCCAAGAAAGTATCCTAGTCAAAGTGTGCTTTAGAGAGTGTTTGCAGCAATGGATGTCCACAGCACCAGGTGGAAGCGTGTCGGGGATGGCGACGGTTGCAAGCAGGAGGGGGGAGAACTTCTCGTCCGAGGCTGAGGCTCAGATCGACTGCACATGCAACAGAAATGCCCATCATGCACCGCCACCGTCAGTACCATTACCATTGCAATTACAATCAAACTTTCCATCACAAAGAAATCTACCGACACCACATTTGACCACTATTGACACAACGACCACAATCACACGCCACTTTTAAATCACCACTATCATTTGTACACATCCATCAATATTATCTTCACCTCCAGTTTCACAGTAAAATTACCAAAAACGCTACCACAGCAAACATGATCACATCTCCCATCAAAATCACCATAATCTCACGTCTCGACATCATCTTCACCACAAACGTCACCACAACAAAACTATCACATTTTCTATCAAGATCGCCACCAACACATCCTTCAACATCATTGTCACCACAAGCAATACCATAACGATAAAATCTCAACTGATAAAATTATCAGGGATATCACCATCATCACAATCATGCTCATTTTCATCACCACCATTACCATCTTCACAATCACAGTAATCAACAAAGAACAAAATCACTGATTTCAACAGTTACATTTACCTATCAATCAAATCACATCCACCACTATAACCACAATCACAACAACATCACCGCCATCATCATCACACGCACACCTAGTTTAGTGTAAGTTAAATAACCACAGATTCTTATTTTAATCCACTTTTGAAGTCACTGCCAATAAAATCCTAGTTACATAAAATTAACAATCAACACAACTGTACATGAACTAAGACTGTGGGAAACCTGTGTGGGTATGGGTGTATGAAGTGGAATCCTACTCGTAGAACTACTCCCTAGAAGAAGCATCTACCTGCTACCCCTGCCTCCTTAGTTTCTTAATAATTAATCTTTTAATATCCTAGTGTCAAGAAAGTTTCACCTCGTCTGCTACTTTTATGTATCTCACAAAATATGTCACTGTCTAAATCTTTCTTCAACACAGAACATTAACAATTGAAAAGTAAAGTTGTAGTATTAGCTATGTGAGGTAATTCTAGGTGTCTTTTCCCTAACTAACATATTACCAATTCTTTGTCTCATTCTCCTTCACTCAGTCAGCTGACTTAGCCGTGCTCTCGCGATATTCTACCTAGCGGCCGCCACCGGAACTGCCCGAAATTAAAATATTTCCAGACTGAATTTTTAACAAACAACAAAGGCATTGCGCTTCTTATAAGTTTTGTATTCATTGACCAAACTCTCTCTCTCTCTCTCTCTCTCTCTCTCTCTCTCTCTCTCTCTCTCTCTCTCTCTCTCTCTCTCTCACTCTCTCTCTCGAAGAAATGTAAACAAAATATAGTTAAACTTCATCGGAAACTGTTCCCATAATAACTAAAATGTTTAAAAATGTACTTTGTTTGTATTAACAACACAAAATTGAAACTACCTGTACCCTCTGGGTTTGAAATTAAAAAAAAAATGCTGACAGTAAAAAGTCTTTTTCATAGTTGGGTAAATCATTTGTTCTGTTATTCACTTCTTTAATTTTAGAGAGGCATTCTTAAGCTGTTATTGAATTGCATACTGAAATGATTAACTTATAAAATCATTTACAATGCAAAAACTTACCAGCATGATTGTGCACTATCATAAAAATTCACTAACTACATATCGACATATTTTAAATATTTTTTTTAATTCCCATGATTATATCCATAATTCTGAATGCTTTAAAAGGTGGTTAGTTTACACACATAATCCATCCATATAATAGGTTGGACAATTAGTATCACAAAACAACCAACTACAACTTTACACCCTTGAGTAATTTGAAACAAAAATTTCAAAAACATGCGTTAGACATCACTGTACACTAAAGTTGGCTAAAATAGAATAGGAAAAGAAGGAACAGTTCATATAAAAAAATTAGGCCCATATTGCAGCAAGCTTGGTTAAGTATTAACATTTCTACTCCTTACTTTTTGTATTAATTTTCTTTAATAAATAAGTATTAGTTGAGTTTTGACTTAAATTTTATGAAGTCCGAAAACGGGTGACTCCTTCAAAATCAACTCAATTTGCTTTTTTAATAAACTACCAGACAGTGCAAAATTTGTTGATTATAATATTTTTTTAAATAGAATTTATTGGCTAATTCAAAATCCTTTTTACAGCCTAAGTGACTTTATCAAGTGTAATTTTGATGTTAAATTTTAATTAAAATAAGTTATTATGCCTAATTAATTGTATTTTTTGTAATATTTTGATGTATGAGAAACTTGATTGTATTTAGATGATTATATTGTAATGTACCGGTATATGACGTGTCCTATTTCTTTGTAAAAAGATCAATGGAATAAATTATTCTTATTCTTCTTATTGCTTTACGGGATAGACCAATTCTTGTTAGGCGAAACCAAATTTTAGACTATTAGCAATGCAGTCAATGGATTTTGTTTCCACTTTTAACTGAAATGAGGCTTCTTACACCATTTTTCTGGTAAACAAACACACCCCAACAAAATAAGTTTGATTTTCAACTGAATATTTACAAATTTTTCAAAAATTTGAAATGTTATTTTGAGAGTTACATGTATCAGAAGTTATGTAACTAGAAATGTGTGTCATTTAACAAAATGAAATGTAAGTTACAGTAACTAGTTCTTGCAAAGAAGGTAGTAGATACATATTTTTAAGTTGTTAATTTCAATAAATTAGTTGTAACGTTGTAAGTTGTAACCTTTAACTGGAATCTCAGATTATTGGAATAGGCAGACTAATACAAAAGAATAGGTTCAGGAAAACACCTTCAATTTATTAAGCAATAATTTTAATTTCATAAATATATAATATTTTAAACATAAATGTATTCAGTCATTTTACAAACAACATAATATATGTCTCTTATAGTGTAAATAAAAGTATGTTAACTAACCAACAACCCCTTATAAACATATGTAATTGTCTTAATACATTATGTGGTAGAATTACCGTAAAAAGCTATTTGAGATTGAACAAAAAACTCAATAACTATTAAATGAGATTCTCAATGACCACCATGCCACCTTAAATCTTAAATAAAATGTAAATAATACATTTGACCTTTTACAAGCTTACAAAATTATAAAATTACATTTAAAACTTACATAATTATTTAGTGAGTATAAAACAAACAAAACCCATGTTGACTAACTTGCTCACTATAAAATAATATTACAAACAATTATTGAATGTTGTAAATTTTACTTTGATAATAAGTATCATGACTAGGTATTGAACAAGTATCTAAAAAATAGCCATAAAAATCCTCAACAAAGGTTTGATTTTCATTATTTCATCTATAATAAACAGGTATATATTTGAGATTCTGTAATGCAATATTATATAGCCATAAAAATATATTTTTCCTGCTCTTTACCAAACTTACACTTTTGTACTTTTAAATGGGCATATAAAAATTACAAATACTTAACATGCTCTTAGATGGAGTTTTTTTTAGTGGTCGTCCATCACTTTGAAAAAATTCTAACCAAAATAAGGTTTTGAGTATTTTAAATATAAATGGCAACATTCAGGGTTTCGATTCTTGGATAGTAGAAGTCTTTTTATAAAATGAATAAAAAATTAGCTTCAAAAAACAATTTTTATTAGTTTTGCTTAATTTTGAACCAATTCCAAAATTTATAACTGTTTTTAAAACTGTTCACCAATTTTTCTAACAATCTTGATAATACTGTACAGTTTCTGTTAAAAAAATCAATTATTAAAAATTCCACCTGAAAGACAGAAGACTTTTTTTTAAGATCTCTATTCAGATTCCATTTATTAATTACTGCCTTGAACAAAAGCATTGAATTTGGTAACACTGGCAATAAGCAGCAACATTGACACCATTCTGTACATAATATGCAATATGAATTAGGTTATTTTGAATGATTGAGCAGGAATAAGATGAACAATCAGCAACCAATCCTCAAATTTGGTCGATAAACTCTCAAAACCGAATCGTTTCTTGACATTTGATGGATTCCAGATTCAAGATTTACTTTTGATACATCACTTATTTTAAACATATTTTGTGGATAATAGCAAATCATAACTAAAAAATAATTTTAACTAACATTTCAATGCTTTATATTTTTCTATCATAGCTTTTTCTAGACTTTTTTTAACAATTGGTAAATTTAGATAGTTTCAATAACAGCAGATCATTGTAAAAATACAAACTACACTATAGATTATTTATAACTAAGCATAATATCATTTTATAAAATAATTTTCCGATTCAGCTGTACAAGATTCATCTTCTAATACATACAAATATATAATCTTGATTTATATGCACTCTGTCACTTTAAGGCACAGAAACTTGGCACACTTTGACTTAGAACACTGGTAACAATAACAATTTGTGTGGGTCAAAATAACTTATTATGTTGTATAGGCTAAGTTGGTAGGTAAAGACGATGAATTGTTGAAAGTCTACTCATTGAGTATGCATTTTCATACATGAATTGCATGCAACTATAAGAAGGTTGAATTTTTAAGTTGTTTACATATTTTACCCATAGAGCTGCAACTTCTTTCAACCAAACAATGCACACAAAATACATGTGGAAGTTTTGAATTGCAAATAATCATTTTTTTTTACTTCTGTTTGCAAGTATTGCAAGAAATGTTAAATTTAAATAATTGTGAGAAAGTATTGAAGAAGAAGTACGTAGCAGAAGAATAAGTGTAACAAAACCAATCATGGGATAAAGAAAAGATAATGATTCAGCTGCTGAATAAAAGCAGCCCATGTAATAGAATTATAGACTCTTTAATTAGAAGCTTCAGTAGCACAACAGAGATATGTGATGAAAATAAAATGGACCAGCTCAATTTTATAGATTTTGTTTCATTTGAACCTTTCAGATATTGCTATGAATATTGACTCCAGAAGAGGAATACAGGTTTTTATTATTGAAGTAGAAACAACTATAAACTGAAGCAGTTAGAATTTAGTGAGGTAAGTGAGCAATTAAGTCAAGCTTCGTACTCATATGATAAACCATTAAGAATTGTTTTT